TTCAGAAGATGCTATAATGGGAGTAACAGATCACAAAAGTATTCAAAGTATTTATGTATATAAAGAAGCGAATAAAAAACAATATCTTACTGTTATGAATATTTTAATTAATGCTATAGAATCATCAAGATTAATTCTTACTGATTTAATAAGTAAAAATACAAATGTTGATGTTCAATCAGAAATTTCTTCTTTAATTTTTACTACAACATTAAAATTTTCTTCTATTAATAATATTCAAAAGAAACTTCCTATTTTTAATAATTATCATTTTAAAATTAAATATAATTTTATTAATTTGCAAGAGTATTATAAAATTAAATAAAACTTTATTATTTTAAAAAAATTATTCGAATTTAAATAAAACTTTATTATTTTATTAACTTTATATAAATAAATAATATTTAATATTTTGTTAAATTAAATTGTATAACTTACTTTTTAGAATATTAAGTATCAGGATTTTATATTAATCAAGATTTTATATCTATGGGATTTTAACATTCAGAATTTAATATTTAAGATTTTGGTATTTAGGATTATAATGAAAAATATAATAAATTTTTCAAGTATTTATTCAATTTTATTTATTATTCTAATATAATTTTTACATTTAAACTAAAATCTACCATTTAAATATAATTTTTCCTTTTATAATTAATAAATTATTTTTAATAATTGTTTATTATTGAAATTAGTATAATCATTAAAAGTTAAAGTCATATTTACAATGTTAGTATTAGAAATGAATATCATTATGAATAAGATAATTTATGTAAGATCAAGAGAATAAATATCAAATAAACAAATCTTATAATTATTTGACTTCATATGTAGCAATATAGTTATAATAATTATTACTACCTTCATAAGCTAAATTCCAATTTCCTTTATCATTTATTATAACATCTCCAACAAAGGTAACATAATCTTGATCATCATTTTTATCAACTATTTTTAAATACTTTTTTGTTTTAAATGATTGCTCACATACTAACAATTTTGGAGTAGGATGCTCTCCGAATACATTAACTTCGAATCTAACTTTTTTGTTATATTCAAGTGTCTGTTCTAATGGCGTCATAATTGAAAGTGAAAGTTGATTGTATATAAGTACAAATGGTTTGTAATTTGATCCTGTTCCATAATTTATCACTTTTAAAGTTGTTACAGCTGAACCCTATAAAAAAATTAAATTTTCTTTATAAATAACATTATGAACCATTAAAAAATCGATTTGTTGTATTTACCTGGTTTGATCCATGAGGGAAATAAAATAAAGAGAGATTTCCATCCCCTTTACTAGGAATATTACATAATATTCTATATAATATTCCTCCATTGAGACTTAATCGCGTTAACCTTTGTACAACAGCCAGCGTACTTTGTCCATTCCAATCCAGTTTAGCAGAATAATGACCGACATTATTTTCGACCATTGCGTGTTCAAATTCCAAAGATATTTTATCTTTCGATGTTTCAGCTATACTACCAGGCCATCTTGTAAAATTTATTTCGTTTTCAAAATATTGAGGCTTAACAAAAGGTAAGTTCAAAAATTCCTCCGATGAAATTGTTGGTTGTAAATATTGATGTTTAGGGTTTGTTGGTAAATGATTAAATATCATTTTCATAGGAGAACACATGAAATAAAATGGGTTAAAATGTTTATTAAATTGTTTATTATTAACATGTCCAGCTCCCCATGTACTATCTATCAACAAATATTCTCCTTCATACAATATAGCGTTCCATGCATGTCCATAACTCGATACATCATCTCCAATTTGATATCCGGCACCTATAAAAAGAGAAAGGTTAAATAAAAAATTGGTTTAATCTTGATTTCAGATAATCTATTACCTTTAGCGCATCCATTAACCTTTATTACATTTAACCCAGCTGCATTTGATAACTCATAAAACAACTCAGAATAACCGGCACACACGGCCATTCTATTCTTTAATACATCTTTCGCACCATTAGCAGACCGCCGTCCTAATAAACAGATGGGTATGGTCTATCATATGTTAATGAAATTTTTTCTTGAAACTAAGTTATATATCAAAATTTACACAATACCTGAATAAAATGATTCACAATCATAAGAGATGTTGTCTGTAATCCATACAAATATTGCTCGTAATTTATATAAAGGATGGTCCCACACAGATGTAAGATAATGAGACAATCCTTTTATCGTTTTTGATTCTAATTCTGGAGTTTCTCGCGCATATTCATCGATAATTGAAAAATCAACAACTAAAAATAATATCAAACATTAGTATTGTTATGTAATTTACAAAAAAAAAGTGATGTTGATTAATATATATATATACCCGATGCATCAAAGAAGCCTTCAAAATCATCTGTAACGACTGGTTCACATAGACTTTATTGCAAAAGGAATGGGAAATATTTTATTATTAATATTATTTAAATTAAAAGTACTTTATGAATAAATAGATACCTGACAGGATTCGTTAGTTCATCAAATTCTTCATAAGAGTCTATAGTATAATTATGATCAATATTAATCGGCGTGGCAGGTCTTTCGGTCACACTCCCACGTGAAGAATTATTCTTCTGTGAATAACTGGGATTAGATAGTTCCGGTAATTTGTTCAGTAAATCCGGTAGTTTACTGAAAATATCGGATTTTTTATTATTATTAGAAACGGTAGAGTTGTCATCTGAAATTATAGTTGACTTTCTTCTTGGAGGCAAGCTAGGTTTTGAATTAATTTTATTTCTTATAGAAGAAACAATAATTTTTTGTTGTTGAGAATCGCCAGTGGGTTCTACAACTTCTACAAATATTTTTGGAAAAGAGCCAAATTTAAAATCTCCAGACCTTTCTGAGTTTGGTATACTTCCATTCCACCAGTCTTCATTCTCTATAATAGAGATTTGTATATATCATTTAATTCGATCATAAATTTATTAAATGAATTTCTGTAATCATTTAATCATTACCAATGCCAAGAACTTCGATGATTTCACCAGCATTAAAACATAAGTCCATAGGATGTTTACTATGATAATCCATTTTCGCTTTTGCTTTATGTATAGGACTCCATAATAGTTTTTTCCAATGGGTTTCCATTTATAATTTATAATAGAGGAAAAATTCTCCACTAGAAAAGAAAATGATCAAAAAGTTTGACCCCGCAGTCGATCACTTTAATCATTTACTATTTTTTAGGGTAACAATGTAATAACGTATATTGGTCACGTAATTGTGTAATATATAAATCAGCCGCGCGTAATCGCGTAATTTCCAAATGATTTATTAGTTTTATCCTTTATATAAGATGAATATTGTTTCTCGACTTTCATCTCAGAAATATTTAAAAAATCTATACTTTCATGAATTAAATGAATGTATAGAAGTTGATCGGATATGATGTTCTAATGCAGTAAGATTATCATGGAACGACAAATCATGAATCCTTATGATCAAAGCGAAGAATCACTTTGTAAAAAATTATGTTCGCTTATTAAAACGCTTATAAAATCTCTACCAGATGAATTAAAGATTCAATTAAGAGATAATTTTAATATTATCGTGAAACTGAAATAAAAAGAGTTGTGACATTGTTTGAGTATTGTTCCTTTATCGAAGAGATGAACTTTGGTGATATGTATAAAGCCAGCTATGTTTGGATGAAATCTCTTGTGGATAACGACGATGTGAAAGGTCCATAAAGAAATCAACTTAAAATCTTATTTTCTCTATAACTTTAATCAATCTAATTAATTTTTTTTTTTAGATATGTCTCATCATATTATTGTATTTCAAACCATGTGGTGAAGAAAAGCAATGTCTTAAATAATCAGCAACGAATTTTAAGTGGACAATTAATATTAAAAGAATATTACAGGGATCTCCTTGTGATAGAGATTATATCGATTCATATTTCCCATTACCTCCTAGTGCATTACCAAAATGTATCTCACGATTAGGAAAACTCAGTTTATTGGATTTATTTTATTAAGACAGATTAAAAAATAATAGTATTTTTAAATTTTTGAGATTAATAAATGGGAGGTGGTCAGTAGAAAAGGAAAATCCACTTTTTAGAAAATTTATTTTCTTAAAAAAACCGATAAATGGAAAACTATCGGCAAAATTTCTGGTAAATCTGATAACCCTGGCACTTCGGATTAGTAATAAAGATCAACAAATATTGTCACAAAAAGTCGCGTAAAAAGTCGCGTTAAATATCAAATCAAATATATGGAATAATGGAAAAATAAACGGAGACGAAGGGAATTACTTTCGTTTGTACTGCGAAAAAGTTCTAATGGATTTGTAAGTTATGTTATATGGAGATATTAACGGCCTTGAGGGAGAATACCTTAGAATATGGTTACGGGAGACACTAAAACTTTCATTTGAACATGTACACAAAAACCACATGTTGGGTAAGTTTTTCTGTTATTTATGTTGACTTTTTGAAAAAATTCATCCATTGATTCTAATTTAATATAGCTACGCTCATATACATTTCCTTAAACACGAAGATGCGAGTAATTTTTTCTATGATTATAAAGACATAATTCTCGATGGTCCTACAGGTAACGAAAACATCAGGATAAAGGAATCATATTATTTCGGTGGTTCAAAGAGAAAGGTTATTTATTTGAAAGTGTTATATTTAATTACCTATTATATATCAGACAATAAAAGTAACAAATGTAACTTTAACGATTTTGTTATTCAGGCGACAAAACTGAAAATCATAACTACCGAAGAAGCAGTATATAATATTTTTATGAGTAGCGTCAAATTTAATAAAGTCTGCATAATCATAAGTCATTGGCGTTATAAAGGTATAGGTTTTTATGCACAGTTACTTGTCGAAAGTACAATGATCCAGGCTCGCAAGACAATTAAGGAAAATCAAAAATAATTTTTAAAAAAAAAATACTTTGATTTCGCTTTTGAAAATTTTATGAATACAAATGGAATTTTTTCTCTATTGAATAAAAATAACATTTTTTTCGGTAAAAAATGTTCTCGTGATTGAAATAAACGTGTTAATGACTTATAATATCAGATATTGTTCACATATCACATATTGAAATTTTATTTTGAGAATGAATAATTTATTGATAAATTTACATACTATATTTGCTAGCTGCGTCAATTTGCAAAATATAAAATTCTTTTTCTTTTTTTTTTATTTAAACCTCAACTTTCATTGAAAATTTAGGTTTGCCTTTAGATGCATTTTTGATTTTATTTTTCCTCCGATTATTATTGGAATTATGCTTTATACTTTTTATCTTCTTAACCGAGATATTTTTTTCATTTTCACTTTCTTCTTCCTGACTTTCCATTTTATCTATCTTAATATGTTCAGAATTCTCAAAATCTGAAAATTCATCATCCAAATTATTATCATCATCATTATCCTCTTTAAACAACACGCCATCATCATCATTGTCACCTTCATCTTCATCATCATCATCATCATCATCGTCTTCTGTTGACAAATTTCCATCATGCATTCTTGGTTCAAGATCATTGCTATCCATCTCATCTGCGGATGATTGCTGTTGCTGCTCTTCCTCGGAACTGTCAATGTCATCGCTATCTTCTTCATCTTCAACTTCCATTTTTTTCCCTTTAAAAACAAGCACATTAAAAATAAAGTAAAAAATTTTAAATTGAATTATGAAAGACAAATTACCATTTTTTTGCGTGGCTATTCTATGGGCTTCTTTTTCTGCTTTCTTCCTTTCAACATTTTTTTCTTGTTCTTTTCGTCTTAAAGCAGCTTGTTGTTTCTTTTGTTGTCTTTCACGTTCAATCTTTTTTATCTCTGCAGGCGTTTTCTTAACTAATAAAACAGGATTTGTTCTTGTTAATTAATTAAATCTTTAACTTTTGGAATAAATGATCAGAAATTACTTACAGAATTCATGAAATAAAACTTCTCCATCACAAAAACCACTTTGAATTTTAACCAATTGTAATTCCATTCTTGGTCCGACTTCAACTAACTTTATGGCACGTTGATCAGCTTTCTTATTAATCTTACCGACAAAATCTTGCGCCAATGTTACTGTGGTTTCAAATCCACTTTCAGCTTCACTTTCTGAAAAATGCCCTTCCCTAAATGAATAAAAAAAAAAAAATGAAAATGAAAATTGGTAAATAAGAATCCTAATATATAGATATTTCATAAAACTCATAGATCACCTCAATACGAATTCACTAATATCATGATATTCGTGTAAATCCGGCACATTAGAATTTATTATTCTTCGTACACTTTTACTAATTCCTATTGGTTTCACTCTTATAATGTAATGCCTAAAATCTATCGTATTCGTGTCACTGTTATAATTAAACAATACAACTCTACGGGCTTCCGCTAATTGAACCTATTATAAATCAATGGGGTTTAAGATAAAATTTTATTACAACATTTAGGAACCCAAGACAAAAATTAATTACCTTGTTGACGTTTATAGAAGGAAACATGCTTTGAAACATAGTTGTCATTAATTTCATTTGTTTTTCTTCACCACCAAAGTTATTTAATACAAGCTTAAAACGAAAAAAAAAAAATTTGTTAAATAATCTTTCACTCCAATAATTATATTACTAGCAATAATAAAAAGTTAAATTACACACCAATGGAGAAGTAAGGAATTCCGTTCCAAAACTTATTGGACTAATTTGAGATGATAAAACATCTCTGATTAAAGAATATTTTAATGCTCTAAAGCATAAGGTTGGCCCTCTTGGAGTTTTTGTTAATCTAAAATTGGTTCCATTCTCCGTTCGTGTAAATATTAAAAATTGTGTTACACCCAATTGACCCGCTACCGCTACGAAATCTTTTAATCGATTTGATTTTCGTTCCTAATAAGTTTAGATGAAAGAGGGTTGTTGTTTGTTAAGCGAATGCTTTTAATTAAAAGGAACGAAATAATACCGAGAATAATTACTTTTAAACGTATTGCAGTATGTGGTTCCATAACTCTTCTCATATCTCTAACTAATGCTTCAACAGTCTTTCCTACGTCGCCTGATTTAAATACAAAACTTTTTGGTATTTTTGATCCATCAGGATTATCTGTTCTTTCATCAACCTTAACATGAGTTCTACTCTTTTTCTACAATTTTTTTTTTTTTTTTTTGGAGAGATTTGTAAATCATCAACAAACAATTAAAAATCATAAAATCATAAAGGAATTAATGAATAATTTACTCTTTTTGGCATTTTTTATATAAATATACTCGCGGAGGGATTAGGAAAATTATAAAAAGTAATTAGTAAGAAACAAAAAAAAAAAAAAAAAAAAAAAAAGTATCCGATTTATCTTATCAACCGCAGTACAATACAATTCGTGTAACTTACTATTTATAAATTTTGTTTGCGAGTTTTTTGATCGCAAAATTCCGAATTTGAACTTCAATGACAATAATGAAAGTAAATAAAAAGAAACAATCGTCATGATAAAAGGAGGATGCCCATTGTTTTCAAAGCCTAATTATCGCGTAATTTTTTTTTTCTTTTTTTTTGAATGAATGAAAACTTTTTAAGGTGCATTAATATTTATATCCAACGAAATAGATTAGGGTTCTGCAAGAGACAATGTCGGGCATCATGCCAGGTTACTGTTTATTTTATACCGGACATTAGAGATGGTCCATCATTACTCAATGTCTGCGTCTTCACATTTTGGGAATCATTGATAATTACTAATTAAATACCTGTTTCGCAAACTGACGTGGGATAAATATGTATTCATGTCTTGAAGAAAGTCGGAGAAAACAAATATAATCCTTTTAACGATCTGTCTCATCCGAAAGAAAGAAATGTTTTGTTTGCTAATCGAATGAATGTATAGTAAACATGTCAAAAGCCAAATGCTGGTGCAAGTGTCCATCCAAGTGCCCAGCATTTTTGTTATCAAGCACCGGGCGCCCATGTTTGTGTCTGTGCCTGTGACCAAAATTATTATAAGGCACAGGCATGTAACGGGCATGCAGAATTCTAGTAATCGAGTTAAATGATTAGTCACCCATCTCCCGGAACGAGATTAATTTTCATATGAACGTTTTAAATTGGATCAAATAAAAAAGGTATTTGCCTACATCATCTATTCGCACGCAAAAGACAATCTTTCTTTTGTCTTCTCCTTTCTTTTGATTTAGGTACGACGAAGAGAAAAGAGCGAAAGTTGTTTCAACCTAAATCGGTCGTAGGTCGGATATTTGAAAATATCGTATTAGCAAAAGTATGCAACTGGGTGTGACTAACCGGAAACTTTTCAAAGCGATCAAATGACATTTATAAATGAAGATAAATGGATTGCTATTTGATACCAAATTGTAATCTCTTAATTCAAGGAAGAATCGTGATGTAATATGATTTTCAAACGTTTCTCGGTTTGGTAAAAAAATGGGGATGGGAGGAATGAAGATGGTGGTTGTTCGGTTCCCAACTTGAAGATTTCACACGTCTCTAATTAATAAATTTAGCTGGAAATTTTAATCGTTTGATAAAAAAAAAGGCGGGGAAAAAAAGAATTTACACGATGCGTATATCTTCTCATATCAAAAATCCTATAGACAAAAAGAAAAAAGAAAAGTTGAAAACTCAAAAAAACTGTAAAGTAGACGTGATATCGGTCGTTCAAAGTTTTTCAGGGCGATCAAAGAATTTTCCGCTTAGACAAATGAAAATGGCGTAACGCGGTGACACGATGCAAATGCAAATTTAATTAAATTTTTGCTGCACGAACCGGTTGTGAATTATTAAGTATTTCTAAATCAACTTTTTGAGACGGCAATGATCTGCTTGACAATTTTGATTGATGTCAAACTTATGTTATTGTTGTTTGGTGACTCCAAAGACCTGAGGCGTTATCCTAACCTATTTAGGTAGGGGACACCCCCGATATTAAACATGTAACATATAGTCGAACTTATAGTCGATCATTTCAGGAAAAAATCGTCATCTCAGCCTATTTTCTCAAAAATTCCCCAATTATTATTTTTTTTTTTTTTTTTTGTGTAAAATTTAAAAAATGATTCATAAATTTATGTATTGTCAAAAACTTGATTTTGCATTGCTCCTCGAAACTTTATTTATTTTGGCGTGAATATTTAAGTATTAATTGTTTCTCAATATACAGTATCTCTCACATTTTACCAATAACTCCTTGTTAACCTTATATGAAGACTCTTATCATCGCCCTTTCTCACTATCCTCAATTTAAATCAAAAACAAAAACAAAAAAAAAAAAAAGAGAAAAATATTGCTAAATAATCACCGGCACCACGGAATTTATTCCGAGAATCGAATATTAGGGAGAGATTAAAGTACTAGCAATCTAAAGGGTAACGCGTTACAAACACCGATTATCTATACTGTGGTATTATTATTTATATATATATATCCGGTGATCATTTGATTATTCACCTTCATTATTAGTGGTCCCATGTACAATATTAGATATATACACACACATGTATGTATATATATGTATACGTATATGTATGTTTAGATGTGATGTTTACTTATTTTAAATTATTTTTTTTTCTCAATACAATCGGTTCAAAAAGTTCATTGATTGGAAGAAAGAACTTGAGTATTATTTAGTCCAAGGTATCTGATTTCACATGAAATTGCGTGATCAGTTTATTCAACGAAACACTCTTACAAATTCGATACATTTAAGACTTGAAATCTTAAATTTTTAACGTGATATCTTTAAACGCAAATGGTTAATGAATTTTATTTGCCAATCAGCTGATTTCCGGTGTGAGCCAATAAATGCAAAAAAAGGTGGGTGTTATGCGAGTTTATGTCGCGTCCCTTGTGTCGATTTTAGAGGTTTAGATTGTTAATCAAGGGGTACAAGTCGAAGAAAAAAGAAAAATCGAACC